TTTGCTCCCGGTGCCTCTGGTCTGCTGGGGACCATCTCCAGCAGACCAGGGACACCGGGAGCAAAGGAGGCGGAGGGGCGCTGGGGTATAAGATGAAACCCTATCTTTTAATTAAAAAGATAGGGGGTCGTCTTATACACCCAGTCGCCCTATACGCCGGAAAATACGGTACATAAAACATTTCATACCTATTTTATACACATTGTTGGGGGCATTCTTCAGTTGTTTCATCTTCTAAACTACTGTTGATGAGTATACACTAGCAGTTTTCTTCAAATTTCTTAAATATTACATTATTTCCAGCTCAGATCCACTAGTGTAGGACTAACAGACTATCATTCAGAAGTGCTCTGGACATCAGTGGATGATGTGGAAATTTTGAGTTCTTTATTAATATACGGAAACAGTATAATTTAAACAAGTAGTAAAGTTGTTTGTTTTTACAACTTGTAAAAACAATCTGTAAATCATCCACAGATGCTAACAATTAAAGTAGTAGTTTATGTAGCTAGAAGATACCTTGCCATTTTGAGCACAATGTATATGCTACTCACCATGGCCACAACAGGTCCAGAATTCATGTATTTAACTAAACCAGGGTAGAATGGCCGATCTTTCAGGTCAATGTAATGTTGTTTTAGAAGCTTTTCTGATGCCTTTAAAGAAAAGTTGAATGTGAAATTGAGATCAATGTTTAATAAAATGTAAAAAGCCACAGGCCGTTACAGCATTAATCAGAAGTTTCATATCATTTTAACACACAACAGCAAGAACTTTGTTTTTCCAAGCTAATTGTCAGTATTTTACATGTTCAGCACCTCAAGATAAGTTTTGTCCATTTTTCCTTTGTTAATGTAAGAATTTACAGTGAGGCAGCTTCAATACCTTGAACTCTTAAAACTGATTTTTTTTCTTTGTATTAGTTTACAGCTGGGCTACGTCTAGACTGGCCACATAAGACGGAATAGGCATGCAAAGCAGGCAAGTCAGAATAGGGAAATCCGTGGGGGATTTAAATATCCCCCGCGGGATTTAAATAAACATGGCCGCCGCTTTTTTTCCGGCTTGGGGAAAAGCCAGAAAAGAGCGTCAAGACTGGCACGATCCTCCGGAATAAAGCCTTTTTCCGGAGGATCTCTTATTCCTACTTGCAGTCTAGACGTAGCCCTGTAGATTATTTTGAGTACAAGACATCTGGAAAACTGAATTTCCTGATGTAGTCTTCAAATCATGGTCACATGACCTAACTTAACATTAGGTTGCATAAAACTACCAACACAGCCTTCCATTTCACAGGGAATAGAAGAGACACTATAGTCATGGTTTGACACAACTGAAAGAAAGCTACACCTGACAACCTAAATTAACACTATTCAGTCCCATTTTCTGTTTTACGGAACAAGGCCTTCAGTTAACTGCATGAAGCTATATGAATATAATGGAAATGTGAGAGAAAATTTGGTCTGGCATATCTATTTGTATCTGAAAAGTTACAATAAGCAGATCAGTTGGGCTGTGTCTAGACTGGCCGCTTGAATTTCCGCAAGAACACTGACGATCTCATGTAAGAAATCAGTGCTCCTTGCGGAAATACTATGCTGCTCCCATTCGGGCAAAAGTCCTTTTGCGCAAAAGGGCCAGTGTAGACAGCTCAGATTTATTTTGCGCAAAAAAGCCCCGATTGCAAAAATGGCGATTGGGGCTTTTTTGCGCAAAAGCATGTCTAAATTGGCACGGACGCTCTTGCACAGAAAGTGCTTTTGTGGAAAAGTGTCCATGCCAATCTAGATGCTCTTTTCTGCAAATGCTTAACGGAAAACTTTTCCGTTAAAAGCATTTGCGGAAAATCATGCTAGTCTAGATGTAGCCTTGGTGTATAGACTGTACTATCGATTTCCACTTTGCCAGCTCCTTGATGGGGGAAAAAATAGCACAGGGAAATCTCAACTAGCTAAAATTTGCAAGTAAAATTGAAAAAAAAAAGCCACCAGTCATCAGAACCAGTGTCCTCAGCTTCAAATGCTGGCCAGATAGTTATCAAAACGCTCACGCTTAAGATTTGTTTCTAGGGGCGGTGCACATTGATGGGGGAAAAAAATCCTTATGGGGCTGGACAAGATGAGCAGGCATGGTCGGAACAAGTTGATTTCTCTCTGCACGAAGCTTTAGGAACACGAGCTAAGCCTTACACCAGCCCTGCCTCTAAAGGAGGCGGGGAAACTTACGTGGAGGAATTTCATGGCCACCAGGCGGAAACCCTTCTGTTCGAAGCGCTTGATGATTTCCCCCACCAGGCCCCTCTGGACGCCATCGGGCTTGATGGCGATGAAGGTGCGTTCGCTGTGACTAGCCATTGTCCTAGGGCGGGGAAGGGGGGCGGTGAGAGCAGGGAGGGGAGCCCAGTTCGGCCCCACCACCAGCAATGCCCCAGAAGCTGACTCCAGTCACCCAGCCAGCACGGCCCGCGGCGGGGCTCCCCCCCCCGA